GCAACTCAAAAGTCACAAACGCGTTGCCGCCCTTGGAGTCCCTCCCGCTCGAGCCAGCGGTAGGGGCTCCGGTAACCTCACTCACTCAGTGAAAGGCAACGAAAGAATTACTTAACACCGGTTTTCTGTGAGGCCGTGGTATCACTCCGATCGAGCCAGCCCATTCGCACCGAAGCAGTTGGAGGTTGCTGGTACTTATAGCACACGTTATCCTGTTTTAAGTACTAGCAGAACTGGACTGGACTATAACTTTGAAATGTTTTATCCTGTATGTTCTAAGTTGTGGCAATAAAGAATTTTATTATAATATAATATGATAATAATATTGTACCACATTCACGCAACCATCTAGTCCGAAACTAAGCAGAGCTTGTACTATGGGTACTAGACAACTGATATAAATACATATATACTTTCTAGAGTTCCGTACCTCAAAAGGTAAAAAAGAAACCCTTATAAAATGACTTTCTTGTCCGTCTGTCCGTCTGTCCGTGTGTCACCACCGATTTTTTCAGGAACGGGTAGACCAAGCAAGTTGAAATTTATACCAGATACTGAGGTGCTGAGTCAACCTATAGGTTTTGGGTCGAAAACCTATCTGGTAGTTCCCGTTGACCGGCACAAATAAAGAAATAATTATAAAAACAAAAAAGTTGAAAATTAAGATAAATTTTAGTACTTACAAATTTTCGAGAAAATCTACGTAAATTCTGGGTAGTTTCAGAACCCTCGGCGCACGAGTTCGACTCGTACCTGACCGGTTTTTATTTTTATAAATACGTACATATTATTATTTTGACTTGTAATTATGTGGTACCCAAAAAAAACCTAAACCTCCCAGCAATGGACTATGTCCAGCAGTGGAATATTATATTGATGGCGATGATGTTCATAAACATGTGGTAAAAAATTATTACTAAGAGAGCCATTAATGCTTTAATTATTGAGATAGGTCTTACTGAGTGGTGTAATATAAGATCATAATACGCAGAACAACTGATAAATACGATCAAACTGAAATGCACCTTCACTTATTAGTCTTTAGGTACATTTTAGATGGCGCTTATGAATTACTCGTACGAACTGACCCGCCCAACTTTGACTGCATAAAAGAAATAAATTTGCTCCGTTTTTGCAACATTTTGCATTGATGCTTAGCTCCTATTGGCCGTAGCGTTATATTCTGTAGCCTTTAGCCTTCCTTGATAAATAGGTTACCTTTAATTTGTTTTTTTTTTGACGGGGTGGAAAATCCCTTCGGATCTCCTGCTCCTCGGAGCTAGTAGCTAGGAGTATGTGGTGATTCCACTAAAAACCACCCCGACGGTCGGCCTCAGGTGCCCTACTCCTGGCGGATCTGGACCATTTTATTTCAGGTCCTGATAAATAGGTTAGGTTAGGTTAGGTTATTCCACTAAAAACCACCCCGACGGCCGGCCTCAGGTGCCCTACTCTGGGAGGACCTGGACCATGTTATTTCAGGTCCTGATAAATAGGTTACCTATCACTTAAAGATTTTTTTTTAATTCGAACCAGTATTTCCTGATATTAGCGCGTCCAAACATACAAACTCTGCTTCTTTATATGTACGAGTCTAGATTTCTAATTTAAGCTTACGAGATAGAGTAGATTCTTGAAAAACTTGCTATTTATTAGTGGGACTGCACGGATGGCGTAGTGGTTTAAGCGGTCGCTGTGGGCCCAGTGCCCTTTTATAAGTATGGAGGGAACTCTGGACTGGTATAAATTAAACCACGCCTCTTACTACTACGCTGAGTGTTGTGGGTCCGATCCCCACATGGGACGACACTTTGTGTTATCCACAAATTGTTGTTCTAAGTCTGGATGTTCTTTGTGTCCGTTTCATGTACATATGTTTGTAAAGTCCACCGCGACACAGGATATATTCCTAACGCGGAAGTTGTCTTTTTAAAAAGAAAATAAAAATAATGAAAGAAATAGCCCTGTCTCAAAGTTTTACTAGTATTTGAGATCTCTGCTATTCTCGTAAGAGCTGCAGCGTGATGTGATAAAACCTATAATCTTCTATATATGTATATTCTATCCAATCCAAGATGTTTTTTTGCATCAGCCAAGTCGTTTTTGAGATTTACGACGGGCCTGTTGGTCTAGTGGTTAGTGACCCTAACTGCTAAGCCGGAGGTCGTGGGTTCGATTCCATCCATCCATCATTCCGAAAAATCCTTTCTTAGTTACAACATAAAAATCTTCAGCTGTCAAAATTTCAAGTTTGTAGCGGTCGCCACGCTGCTTACTACTACGCTGAGTGTTGTGGGTTCGATCCTCACATAAGACGACACTTTGTGTGATCCACAAATTGTTGTTCTGAGTCTGGGTGTTCTTTGTGTCCGTTTTAAGTTTGTTTGTAAAGTCCCCCGCGACACAGGATGTATTCCTAATGCAGGAGTTGTCTTTTTTAAAAATAGCAGTTACTGCTTACAGCATAAAAATCCCCAGCGGTTTATTCTCTGCGTTGATGAATCAGTCAGAAAAGGGAAGTAATTTTATACGAGTATGTTTAAATAATTAAATAATTTTAAATTAATTATATGTCTTGTATTATCTCTCGAATGCCTCCTTGGTGCAGTAATTAGCGTATGCTACCTTTGTGCTGAGGACTAAACGTTTGTATGATCTGCAAATATTTGTTTCAGAGTTTGGGTGTTTTCTATGTATAATATGTAAGTATTTACAAAAAAATGTAAGTATATAAGTATTGGTTTACCTGTTTTAACACAAATTTTAAATTAAAAACTGCCTCGGTGGCGCAGTGGAAGCGTATGCAACTTCTGTGCTGAGGTCTCTTGCTTCCTATGGGTGCTTTCTATGTATAATATGTATGTATTTACAAAAAAATGTAAGTATATAAGTATTGTATCAGTCAATCTAGCTTTTATTGTACAAGCTCTGTTTAGTTTCAAAGATGGCGTTGTGTTAGATGTGCAAAATAAAAATAAAAACTCTCGACAGTAGTTAGCAAACATGTCTATTTTACCTAATAGTCCAGTTGGTGTCCTTGCTATAACAACTAATAAATGCATATCTATTCTGTTTTATTCCATTATTATTGTCTATGACAGTTTCCTTAGACAACGTAATCACTTTTGTTATCGTTTAAAATATAAGTAAATAAAATTTAAGTGTTTTGTTGTAATTTAAAAACAACCTTTTAAATCAATTTTGAAGTGAAAACTTATTTGGAGCGTTGGGCATTTTTTAACAACAAACTAAAGAATGTATTTTTTGTGATAGGCAAAAATCTTTTTTTTTTTTTCTTTAAAAAGACAACTCCCGCATTAGGAATACATTCCTGTGTCGCGGGGAACTTTACAAACATACATGAAACGGACACAAAGAACACCCAGACTCAGAACAACAATTTGTGGATCACATAAAGTGTCGTCCCATGTGGGGTTTGAACCCACAACACTCGGCGCAGTAGGAAGCGGCCTGGCGACCGCTTAAACCACTACGCTATCCGTGCATTGAACTCGCGACACTGTTACCGTTACCGACACCTCTGACTACAAGTATCTACATATATTGGCCCCGTTTAAACGAGAGCTGGGTTTTGGTTGATATACATTGATAATATAACTATATTTAATAAAAACATTAGCTGTTTACAACATAGATATATATTCATGTCGGAACTTTTTCAAATCAAATCGTAAAGAAACAAAAACATGAACCTGTTATAATTAAAAAAGAGTTTTTTTTTATTGTAATGCGATGAATCTTTGTCTATGAGGAAATCACAATCACATGTAAAATCGCTGTGACTCAAACCAATCATTTATAAAGTGAATATGATTTAAAAGTAACAATTTCCATGTCTAGTCTCTAGTAATCTCACTTACGAGGTGAGAAGCAACTGGACAATTTCACAACATCCGTTACAACTATTACAAATTATATAAACAAAGTACGTGCCATGTTTTACATCATTAATTTCTATAATATTGTTGTTATCTCTACTTATCTACTTACCTAAGATAGACGCGTGATGATATTGTTATAATAATCAGACCACATTATGAGATATATTGCGTAAGGTGTAGTGTAATTTGTAATACTCCGCGAGAGTGTTACGACGTTTTTTTATTATATTATGTGTTCGGCGATAATGGCGGTATATTTTCTAGCATACATTATTTTAACTTTCACCGTAAATTAGTTCAATAATCACAAAAAAACGAATTATTAGACTAAGTTAATAGTTGACAAAAAAAAAAGCCGTGTGGTGTCGTGGGACACCCGATAGGAACTAAGTTGTTACGATCGAGTAAAACTGATTAGACACGATTTTAATTATAACGCCATCTATGAAAGCGGCTATTACCTACATATTTTTCAGTTGGTTTCTAATTAAAACAATTATACATTGGTAAAATCTCCTTGAGAAATGATGTCAAATACAATATTTTTTGCTCAACCTAAGAACATAAATTTTAATTGTACTATTCGATAGATGGCGCTGAATGACTGACAAGTGACAATTCAAAATAAAAAGTGTCGTGAAAAATTTTCGTAAGATTTTTTTCCGTCTAGCCCCCTTTCACAACGAGCGATAAGAAAACTTCGTTCCAAAAACAGAAAATCCGACTGCGTGAATATTGTACACTTTAAATTAATAAACCTCACCACCTTTGCTTGCAGCTCCGCCCGTGTGTCGGTTATTGCGATAAAAAGTAGCATATGTTACTCGTTGATAATGTAGCTTTCTATTGGTGAAAGAATGATGAAAATCGGTTTAGTGGTTTAGGCATAAAAGCGTAATAAACAAACTTACTTTCACATTTAAAATTGTATGCTTTATTATATTTTGTTTTATGGGACAATTAACAGTTACACGTTGGGTAATAGGTAATTTAAAACGAACGTGAAATCCGCGAAATAATATTTACAGTAATGAAGTGTAAACAGTATTTTACGGCAATCTAAAAATAAAACTTCATATAGGTGGTATAGGCACTTACCTCAATAACTTCTCAACGACCAATTTCCCCAAGAAGCCAGTGCCTCCTGTCAGGAGTACCGTGGTACCTAAGAAGAGTTTCTCTATCTGCGATTCTCCTAACGGCTGGTTTTCTTCCACCATGTCTTTATACGTGATATCTCCCCCTTGTTTCGGGTTCAAGAGCTGAGTGTTCGTCATTATCTCTGCCGGCATGGTTGGAGATCTGCAACAGAAGAAAAAGATCAGCATTTTGCATGTAGAACTTATTAGAAGGCGGATGGAATTTAAACCGAGCTGGTCTCCGTAAAGGTCTTATACTTGTGACTCTATGGTAGAAGGTTCGAACCTGATGCAGTCAAATCAGTATTAGTAGTATGTAGAATAAATCTAAAATGCAATGTCATGTATCTATAGTATGTAAGGATTTAGAAATATTTTGGTTTGTTTATCAGCAGTCTGGTTATTACAGGCTTTGCTTAATTTGGGATCAGACGGCCGTGTGTGAGATTTAATTTAGTTTTTCCTCTTTAAAAACTACGAAAGGAAAAAATGGGTGAGAAAATACTCTTGTATCTGTGCGAAGTCGCGATCACATCAACAGCATTTAATAGGCCTCTCCTTGGAAATGAAGTTTAGGCATTTAAAAATATATAAGTATGTTTAACAGTGGTCTGGTTACCATAGCACGGGTTCTGCCTAGTTTGAAATCAGACGGCCGTGTGTGAGTTGTGTAAAGTGATTGTTACAATTTTTTTCCAATTTTATCGATTTTCCTAGATCAGGTCAGTCAGAAACTTAAATACTTTATGCATGTTTTCCAACAAATTCAATTCATCATCATGAACAGCCTATAACAGTCCACTGCTGGACATAGGCTTCTCCTTAGAAAGGAGGTTTTGACCTACTATACCACGCTGGCCAGACGGGTTGATATAGGGTTTCCCCGTCGATGGCCTCCCTGGCCGGAGACGACGGGGAGCACGGGGAGGACAATGTTCCGCCCGTCCGGGATTCGGAGGTAGGGGCGGCTGTTCTACGGATCCGTTCCAAGAACACCGCCCCTGGGCCAGACGGGGTACCGGCCCGAGTGCTGGCCCTGGCCCTCAACCACATGGCAGACCGCCTCGGGGAGGTGTTCGACGCTAGCTTGGCGTCGGGACGCTTCCCTGAGTGCTGGAAAAGCGGGAAGCTGGTCCTATTGAGGAAGTCGGGACGGCCAGCCGATTCGGTCGCGGCCTATAGGCCCATCGTGCTGCTGGACGAGGCGAGCAAATTGTTTGAGAGGGTTCTCTCTGCCCGCATCGTCCGGCACCTCTGCGAGGTGGGCCCCGATCTGTCGGACGCCCAATTTGGTTTTCGGGCGGGGCGTTCGACAGTCGACGCCGTTTTGCGCCTGAGGGCCGTGACCGAAGAGGCCGTGAGCTGTGGCGGCGTGCTGTTGGCGGTGTCATTGGACATCGCCAACGCATTCAATAGTCTGCCATTCAGCTGCATCAGGGAAGCACTCCACTATCATGGGGTGCCAAAGTACCTGAGGCAGGCAGTGGCAGACTATTTAGAGGAGCGTACCGTCGTGTACGAGGACCGAGAAGGTAATCTGAGGTGTCGGCCCATGTCGTGCGGTGTTCCACAGGGGTCTGTTCTTGGACCCCTCTTGTGGAACATAGGGTACGACTGGGCCCTTCGCGCCGATTTCCCCCCCGGGCTGGGTGTAATCTGTTACGCAGACGATACCCTCGTGACAGCCCGGGGGGCAAACTTCCAAGAGGCGGCGCGCCTGGCCACAGGGGGAGTCTCCCTGGTGGTCGGGCGCATTGAGGCGCTGGGCTTACGGGTGGCCCTAGATAAGACGGAGGCCCTGTTATTCCATGGGCCCCGTCGTGGTCCACCCCCTGGCGCCTCAATCGTGGTCAACTCCTCGGTCCTCGTACCGGTTCGGGCCCAGATGAAATATCTGGGCCTGATCCTCGACGGGAGGTGGCTCTTCGACGAGCACTTCCGACAGCTTGCTCCAAAGCTGGTCGGCGCTGCGTCTGCCCTAGGGCGACTCTTGCCCAATATGGGTGGACCCAGCGTCGCGACAAGACGGCTGTACACGGGGGTTGTCCGGTCAATGGCACTGTACGGTGCACCGGTGTGGGCGGCGGCTCTGACCGCCCAGAATAGGGTACGCCTCTGGCGCCCTCAGAGGGTAATGGCGGTCAGAGCCATACGCGGTTACCGCACCGTTTCGACGGAGGTGGCGTGCGCGTTGGCCGGAACTCCCCCGTGGGATTTGGAGGCGGAAGTGCTCGCCGAAGTTTATCGGCGAGTGGCTGACTACCGGGCGGAGAGCGGATTTCGCCCTCCGCCCGAGGATGTGCGCGAGTGGCGCGAAGCCGCTCGCCGAGCCACGATGGCTCGTTGGTCGTTCCGGCTGGAGACTCCACGCGCTGGCTTCGCCGCCGTGGAGGCTCTCCAGCCGGTCATCGCCGAGTGGGCAGGGCGGCAGCACGGGACCCTTTCCTTCCGGCTGACGCAGGTGCTTTCCGGGCACGGTTGCTTCGGAAAGTACCTGCACACGGTCGCTAGGAGGGAACTGAGTCCCGCCTGCCACCACTGCGACTGCAGTGAGGACTCGGCCCAGCACACGCTGGCGGTCTGCCCCGCATGGGCGGCGCAGCGCCGGGCCCTCACTGCAGTCATCGGAGTGGATCTTTCGCTACCGGCCGTAGTACGCTCCATGGCCGGTAGCGACAGTTGTTTTACCGCGGTCGCAACCTTCTGCGAGGTAGTAATCTCGCGGAAGGAGGCGGCGGAGAGGGCCCGGGAGGACGACCTCCACTCGGACCCGATCCGCCGCCGGCGAACCGGGCGGCGGAGGCCCGCCTACCACAGCCTCATGCCGCCCTGAGTGTGGCCGCGGGTGGACGGGGTGGGTTTCCCCTCCACCCGCATTAGTTTGGCCAGCCGCGAGGGGGCGGACGTCGCCTATAAAGAGAGGAAAACATTGAGACGGAGCCCGCACCAGGAGCGGGCTGGCGCTAGGAGGGGTCCGGATGTCTTAACAACAGCTGTTCCCGGATTCCTCCTGTTACAGGCGCAGAGTGGCACACCGTGTGGTTTTAGTCGGTCCGAGTCCGACACACCACCCCGCCGCAAACCCCGGAGGGGTGACGGTCCGAGGGGATTTCCACACGTTAAAAAAAAAAAAAAAAAAAGGGTTTGTTTCAAGTTTTCCTTCTCTTTGCAGTGCTATTGTCGTGTGTTGTCTGTAGTAGTTGTGTGTAGTGACATTCCGTATTCTTAATCCGTCACCACTCGGTCAATAATTATATTGAGCAGAAAAGAATAATTGTAATTATATTATTGGACATCTCCGCCATTTTGAGTTGAATATTATACAAAATACTTGAAATAACCGAATCAAACACGATTAATTTAAATAAAACGTTATTTTGTATTCAATAATTACGAGTATTTGCAATTTCATAGTAAATTATCTATGAATAATATTTTCTCGAGAATAGTTAATTATTAAATAATATTCCTCAGCCGGTCAGTACAAAACAAAATAAATATTTAGATTTTTGTTGGAAAGAAGCATCTTTATTGAAGAAGAATCTATTCTTGACGACCGAATGGCGTAGTGGTTTGTGTAACGGACTGCTATTCCAAAGGTCGCGGGTTCGATTCCCGCTCAAGTCAAACATTTGTTTGCGTGAACATTTAATGTTTGATTTGGTCTGGGTGTTTCTATGTATAATAAGTATGTATTTACAAAAAAAAAAGTATATATGTATTTATATCAGTTGTCTAGTACCCATAGTACAAGCTCTGCTTAGTTTGGGACTAGATGGCGTTGTGTGAATGTGGTACAATATTATTATTATTATTATTCTATCCGTATATTTTATTTTACTGCAAAGAGAAGGAAAACTTGAAACAAACCCTATACCAACCCGTCTGGCCAGCGTGGTGTAGTAGGCCAAACCCTCCTTTCTGAGGGGGGGATATCTAGTAGTGGACTATTAAAGGCTGATGATGATATTTTACTTCGATACGACCAAACCTACAAAAAAAAACTTTAAGAAAAGAGCGCACTCCTTCCTTAAAGACCGGGAACGCGATTGTGACTCCTAAATTGCATGCGTTCATGGGCGGCGGTTGTCGCTTCCATCAGGTGACCCGTAGGCTCGTTTACTCTTCCATAAAGAAACTTTGGAAATCCTAGTCTTTGTATTTCAAATTTTTTTTTAATTGTTTACGAGTCACTCTTACTGCAGTTAATAACAATCAAACTCAAACTCTCTTTATTTCATTAAATTTTCAAAATTGTTTGGAATGGAAGTCATAGATCAACACACACAAAAGCAACAATCTCTGTTTTGTCAAATAGTAAGCAAATAAATTTAACAAAAATCAAACGCATACAAAATCTATGATATGCCTGTGCCGATCTACAACCGCACGTTTCCAAGGGGAAGCCTTATGAGAAGAAAGGGCAAACAAACTCATGGCCACTCTTTTGCAATTCACATATAGATACAATGGCACTATTAAATATACCACAACATTGTTTTGATGTGTGCTAGTATGTCCGTTATTAAGGACTAAAAGGTAAAAAGACAATATTATGCATCTCACATACGGCAGTCTGATCCCAAACTAGGCAGAGCCTGTGTTATAGTAACCAGATTACTCATAAACACACTTATATATAGTTATAAATACAAACATATTATACATAAATTACACCCGTTTTTTCCGTGCGGAAATCCCCTAGGATACCACCTATCGGTGGCATGTCGGACTCGAACCGACTAAAACCGCACGCCGTCTCGGGTACTAATAGCCGGGGAACCAGGTATACCCTAGAAAGGAAGTCCCTGGTGACATAAATTACACCCAGAAATAACAAATGATTATGTTCATAACACAAAGATTTGTCTTGCCTTTTTTTTTTTTTTTTTTTCCGTGCGGAAATCCCCTCGGATACCACCTGTCGGTGGCATGTCGGACTCGAACCGACTAAAACCGCACGCCTTCGCCGGGTACTAATAGCCGGGGAACCAGGTATACCCTAGAAAGGAGATTTGTCTTGCCTGGGAATCGAGGCCACGATATCATGCTTAGCAGCCAGGATCGCCAACCAATGGACCAACAGACCCGTGGAACAAATATCTCAATTCAAATGTTTCCTATCTTCATTATTTTACGTCATGGAGTTGTCGGTTGAGCAATGTTTGACAAATACAACTAAAATACTG